GGCTCAGTGAGATAAATGCTTTCTCGGCATAGTTCGAGATAATACCTTCGGATTTTTCAACCTGGTTTCCCCCTGTCAGTGATGCACGTAAGAGGGGCTGACATGGAAAAGCGTCTAGTTCGGATGAGACAATAAACCGAGGCCCTGTGTGCTACAGGGTGTGCACATTAAAGATCCCTCGACAGTTGGAAATCGAAAAAGAGCAGGCTAATGCCACTGTCCTGGCCAAATTTCCCTCATTGCACCCTACATTCATTTCATTTCATTTCTCAATGAAGTTTCTATGTATGATTATCATTATCTTTTTATATTTCAGTTAGCAACACGTCTGTTGGAATGCGTGGAGAAAAATTGTTTGACAATTGAACCTATCCCCGGTGATAACTCATACCCACGGAAATGTTCTTTAACTGAATCCCACAAACTATGTAATTATAAAATACGATTGGATACAGAAGATACAGAATGGTATTCTATATCACAACTCTGTAGAAATAGGGTAAGAAAATTATTGGATTTCACTAGCCATCAAAATTCCCAATCTGATTAATATGCAAATCAGGATTTTTCATGTGGTGTTTTATCTGTTGGTGATACCACGTGTCATACAAGCTCTGAGGAAATGTTTCAAATTCTGGGAAATAACAGTCTAATGTTGCCCCGTTCAATAGTGTTATTGACTGGTCGGCATTAATTAAAATTATTGTATCACAATTTCAAAAAACGTGATTGAGAGAGTTGTCAGGTCATGGAGGGCAAATGTATAAACCTCAGTAAAAATACTAAATGAACTAATTAGCCTTTAAACTTGTTGTGTACCTCTCTGTTTAATTAAGTTTTGAGCTTTTTCAAAAAAGTAACCGATCCTCTTGGCAGATAAATGTTTTGTTATAATGGAATTTAGTAATTTCTGATGGTTGTTTTGGTTGATATTTCAGATAGCAGCCGTGTGTGATTTTTATACCTATATTAGATATATACAACAAGGTCTTGTGAAGAGTGAAGGTAAATATTACTTTATCTTTCTGTAACTCAATGACACTTTCTTTAACTCACAATAGATCAAAATCAAACCTTTTTACCATCTACTTCTTGACATTGATCTTTCCCTGATTATCTCTACCCTATTTGAATGGGTTGACTGATGAGGACGTTATGCTACAGTCTTTTCTTTGATTACTGCAGGTTCAGTTTGATAATTCAAATTTCTATGGCCAAAAGCTCAATTTTTTTTAAAGGGACAGGTGCGCCATATTTTTTTACCAATCATAACTTA